TTCTAAAATATTAAGTAAACAGCATACTTTTAAATAACCTGTGGATCAAAAAAATAAATAAAAAAGAAAATTATAATGCATTTATAAATGAACAAAAATAACATGTCCAAATTTGTGATATGTTGCTCAAACAAAACTTAGAGGGAAATTCATAGCACTAAACACCTGTATAAGAAAAGATCGTATCAATGGCCTTAGCTGCCATCTTAAGAATCTAGCAAATTAAGAGTAAATTAATTACTACTTACAGAACAAAGTAAACAAAAACAAATGAACAAGAAACAATGATATGGAAAGGAGAGAGAGACATCTATGAAATAAAAAACTGATTATCTGAGGGGCACTTGTGTGGCTCAGTCAGGTAAGCATCTGACTTTGGCTTAGTCATGATCTCACAATTCGTGAGTGAGAGCCCTGCTTCAAGTGAGTTCGAGTCCCACTTCAGGTGAGCTAGAGCCCTGCCTCAGGCTCCACACACTCTATCTCTGTACCTCATGGTATTCCCTCTCTCTCTCTGCCCCTCACTCACTCCTGTTCTCTTTTTTTCTCAAAATAAATTAAAAAAAAATTTTTTTAAACCTGATTATTTGAAAAGATCAATCTAAGTGATAAACCTCTCATTAAACTGATGAGTAAAAGGAATAAGACACAACCAATATCAGCAATGAAAGAAATGGACATCACTACATATTTTACAAATAGTAAAGGATAATACGGTAATATTGTGACCAATTTATTCCAATAAATTCAGTAAATTAGATTAATAGGAAAATTCCTTGAAAGACATAAATTTCTAAAGATCATCCAGGAAGAAATGGATAAACTGAATAGTCCTATATCTACTGAAAAAATTATATTTTAAACACCTTCCCATAAAAAAAACAAAAAACACCTACAGACTCAGATTGCTTCCTTGGAGAATTCTAGCAAACAGTAAAAGAAGAAATAGCATGAAATTTACACAAACATCCAGAAAATTGAAAAGCAGAGAATATATCCCAAAGACATTGTAAGGAAACTACAGCTCAACATCCCTCATGAATATAATGCAAAAAGTATTAATATGTAGCAAACTGATTCCAACAATATCTAAAAAGGATAACACATCATGAACAAGTGAAGTTAATTGCAGGAATGCATGGTTGCTTTAACAATTGAAAATCAATCAGTAAAATTCATGTTAAGAAACTCAAAAAGAATAACGATATGAGCATATCAATAGGTGGAGGAAAAACATTTGGCAAAATCCAACATCCAATCTTCCTAAAAACTTTCAACAAATTAGGAATAGAAAGGAACTTCTTCAACTTACTAAGGAAGATCTATAAAAACCCTACAACTAACATCAGTCTGAATGAATGCTTTTCCCCTAACATCTGGAACAAGGTTAAGGATGTCTCCTTTTTTATTTCTATTGAATATTTTACTGGAGGTTTTAGCCAATATAATATAATATGGCAAGAAAAAGAAATAAAAAACCTATAGATTATAATGGAAGTCTATAGTACAGACTATATTCAGAAGCCAAAATCATCTACATTGCAAATCTAATGGACTCTCAGTTATAACTGAGTTTATCAAGGTTGTAGGCTACAAAATCAACCAACTGCATCTCAATATATTAACAATGAACAACTGAAAACTGAAATTAAAAATACCACTTACAGGGCTCCTGGGTGGCTCAGTCGGTTAAGTGTCTGATTTTTTATTTTGGCTCAGGTCATGATCTCAGTTCATGAAGACTGAGACCTGCTGTCAGTACAGAGCCTGCTTGGGATTCTCTCTCCTGCTCCTCCCCTGCTCTCTCTCAAAATAAGTAAATAAACTTTAAAAAACAAATACTCATAATAGTATTAAAATATAAAATACTCAGGAATAAATATGACACAAGATGTGAAAGACATATATAATTAAAAGATAAAACACTGCTAAGAGAGGTTTTTAAAGATACAAATAGTACTATGTTCAAGGGCTGAAAAACTCAATGTTAAGATGTCAATTCTCTCCTTATCTAACCCAATAGAATAATATTCATTACAATCCCAGTAAAAATTCCATTAGGTATTTTTGTAGAAACTGGCAAGCTAATTATAAAATATATGTAGGAATGCAAAGGACCCTAGAATAGACAACTTAAAAATTAATTTTTTTTGAAAAAGAAAAAAAATGTCACTACCTGATTTCAAACTTATTTTAAAGCTAGTTATCAAGGCAGTGTGGATTGGAACTCAAAAGACAAAGCTCAGTTAAACAGAAGAGAGTCCTGAAATAGTTCATATTTATGTAAAATGGATTGTTACCAAGATGTAAGGCATTTCAGTAGAGAAAGGATAGTCTTGTCAACAAATGGATACTTACTTTGGTCCATACCTCTTAATACCATATTCAAAATTTAACTTCAAGTGGATCATAGACCTAAATGTGAAATTAAAAACTATAAACTTTTAGAAGAAAGTATAGGAGATCTGTATGCTCTTAGGTTAGGCAGGTTTTAGATATAACACTGAAAATATGATCCATAAAAGACAAATAATTGGTAACTTGGACTTCATCAAAATAAAAACTCTAAGACACAGCTAAGAAAATGAAAGATAAGCTATACCCTGATATAGCACTCCTATCCAGAATATATACCCTCAAATACCAATATTAAAACAAACTCAAGTCATTTGTTTACCAAAGAAAATTTATGGTTAGCAAATAACATGAAAAGATGTTAAACATAGTTATGAGGGAAATGTAAATTAAAACCATGATATACTACTACACCTGTATTACAATGGCTGAATGGCTAAAGCTACAAAGACTGATTATACCAAGTATTACTGAGAACATGAAGTAAATGGAACTCCCATACACTGCTGGTGAAGGTAAAATGCTATAGCTACTTTGGAAAGCATTCTGATATTTTCTTAAAAAGTTGAACATACACTTACTTATATAATCCAAGCATTTCACTATTTAATAAAAGCATACTACCTATCTTACAAAGACTTGTATACGGTTTACAAGATCTTTAATGTTTATTTTTGAGAGAGACAGAGAGTATGAGCAGGGGAGGGGCAGAGAGAGGGAGACACAGAAACCAAAGCAGGCTCCAGGCTCTGGGCTGTTGTCACACAGCCCGACGCGGGGCTGGAATTCATGAACTGTGAGATCATGACCTGAGCAGAAGTCGGATGCTTAACCGACTGAGCCACCCAGGGGCCCCAAGATCTTCATTTCTAATAGCAAAAAAACAAGGGGGTGGGGGGTGGTTGGAAGCTAATGTCCATTAAAAGGTGAATATATGAACAACCTGGTGTATCCAACAGGATACTGCTTAGTAAGAAAAATGAATTAACTACTGGTACACACGAAATGGATGAATCTCTAATGTCTGGTGAAATTAGAGTACACACTTTGACTCCATTTATAAAATGCTAGGAAAGGCAAACTAATCAACATTGACAGATCGGTGATTACCTGGGGACTGACAGGAGGGATTACAAATGTGCAGAAAGAGGGGGTGCCTAGTGGCTCAGTTGGTTAAGCATCTGACCTCAGCTCAGGTCATGATCTCAGGGCTCATTTCCGACGAGATCGGGCACGTTCAGGATGGTATGACCGTAGACTCTCAGGGTTCATTTTGACCCTTGCCTTGGGCTCTGTGCTGACAGATCAGAGCCTAGAGCCTGCTTCAGATTCTGTCTCCTGTCTCTGCCCCTCCCCTGCTTGTGCTCTTAAAACATGAACATTAAAAAAAAATGGGCAGAAATTTGGTTATACTTACATTAATTGTGGTGATGGCTTCATGTGTGTATAGACATATGTCAAATATATGTATATACACACACACACACATTTATATACATATCGAAATGTCAAATTATACTTTCAATGTTGTCTATTGTCAATTTTCCTCAATAAAGCTGCTTAAGTCACTGCTAATTTCATTGGAGGCTTTATTTTATTAGAGAAGACACACCCATAAACCCATTTAAGATAAATCCTCTACCTTAGGCTTCTGCAGAGATGGAACGCAAAGGCCTTGAGGGTCTTTGAAGCTCTATTGAGAATCTGAGGCCCACCCTTAAATCTTTAGGACTTTTTGTCTGAGTTCAAACTCCTAGATTTCATCATATCCATAACTGAAACCAAAATATATTCAACTTTAGAATTAAGGAATAAAAAAATATGTATCTTTATCCTGGGCTCTTATTAGAACAAGTGTTCTGAATGCAGTCAAAGATAACATTTTTACTTTACAATGCAGTCTCCTATAGCTTCCTAATTTAGCTGTTTCTAAGATTAAAATGTTTATCAAAATAAAAGGTTCACATTATTTATTAAGCTTATAACAATTTTATTCATAACAGGTACAAAATTTACATTTAGATGTATATGTATACAAGAGATCTTTATTTTTTTACTTTGACATAAAAAATACAGAAATATTTACATTATGTACAAAAATATTAAAACATACAGACTTCACAAATAGGAAAAAGCAAGATTTCACAAAAGGTACTTTTTTGGGAAATGTACACACTGAAAAAGAGGTTAAAGAAAGATGACAAAACACTTAAATTAACAGACTCCAGAAGTTACTGCAATAGGAATTAATTTGGTAGGGCAAATAAAATGTCTCAAATGCTAATAGATGGTAAACAAGATATCTATTTAAGATTATCTAGGTAAAATTACATGGTCTTCCTTTACCATAAAATTGAATCAATTTTATTTTATCCCTGAATTACAAACATCAGATAGCCACTTTTCCTTTTTTCTAAAAATATTTAAATTTTCTGATTTATACTGATAATTTTAAACTTTTTCAAATTAAATTGTAAAATATTTTAAGTTGTATATTGTCTTTACTCAAGGGGAGAAAATCCCACGTACTACATTGATTTCAACACAAAATTGGAAATTACAATACATTTTACTTTTCTTAAATTAAAACCTAACATTTTCTAACTAACCTTCATAATCAGGTACAACTGATTGTTAACAAGAGATCACAATCGTCGTAAATTCTTCTTGCTTGTTTTGGTACCGGGCAGAGGACCTGTTTTATAATTGGCTTTTAGGGGTTTGCCATTTGAACATTCGTTGGTGGTATGATAGTTACACAGACACCTTGTACAATAATCAAACCCACAGCCTTCTCGTTTGCAGATTGCCCGTTGTAAATAGCAATCATATTTCGCAGGTGAATTACAGCGAATACAGGCTTTGAGGCTTTCATTCTCTTTCAAAGTTTTGGCAACCTAGAAAGAAGAAAATCCATAAACAAATTTTAGTTAAGAATTGAATGTAATTTAGTTGGTAAAAACAAGAAGGGCATTTCTGAGGCTTCCCCAAAACATGAATAAAGGACCAATGTCACACATAAGTCAATTCCTGCCTTTAAGGAGCTCACTGTTCAATGAGTGAGATAATATCACTTGTCAACTGGTCCAGTGGCTATTTCCTAATCCTACCTTTAAACATGTTCTTTTATTTCATGAATGCTACTTACATGTCAATGCCTGACTTAAATGTCACCTTTACTGTGAAGTCTTTCTAGTGTTACTAGGAGGTGGTTGCTCTTTCACTTCTAGCTTTTTTAAGGCACCTATCACGTTATATGGCATTTATTTTTATGTAGCCATTTTCCATTCTAGATTACAAGGCTATGAAGGGTACCATGTTTTCTTATCCATGGATTACCTGATAGCAGATGCTCAATAACTGCTGTTTGAATCGTTACAGGTTGTATTAGTCATTATGTAACGAACACTTAGAAAATAAAACTTAACTATAATTTATACTTATTGACCAGCATGAAGGCAGTCAACATTTCAAAGATGCACTTAGGTGACGTTATGTTTTTTTAAATTAAGCTTGCCAAATTTTCCATGTGTTCAGTAGAACTTACAATACACATTACCCAATGATTTGAAGGTACAATAGGAGGGCTTCAATTTCTGAAAGCTGGACTTTTCCAGTTTAGTTCTGGTCCGTAGATATAAAAGGTAGCAATTGCAAAACGTAGTATTGAACAAGTTTGGTAAGAAATTTAAAAATCAAGGTTTCCTTAGCATTTCCAAGTTAGATCTCAACATCACTGAGTGGTCATAAACAATGTCAAATGGTAGCTATTATTTTTTGCATAGAAAGACATCTCTGTGTACTTTCCTAACTTGATTACTTGAGTTATAAATTGTTTCAGTTTCTAACATTTTTGAGACCAGAATGAAGGGGGACAGAAGATAACATCTCCATTAATAATTCCCTAGTAGTTCTACTTATGCTATAATTAAATTTAAAGTTCTCCATTTCTTACTCTAAATCCTTTTAACAATAAAGGCCCCGTAAGTTTCTAGTTTATTGACAAACAAAAAATTACCTCAGAGAATTCATTGTGTCGACTGTAAGTAGAACCTTTCTGATCACCTGGATGGGATAACTTGGTTTGAGCATCTTTTTTGGGGTGAGCCTGGGCTGCTGATTTTTGAACAGAAGCTAAAGCGGTTCTGAACATAACATATTCTCTGGTTGAAGCATGTGGTGAAAACTTAATGTTCTTTTCCTAATTAAAAAAAATATTTTAACAGGACTTAAAAATATCCTCCTATATTCTTAACAATCAGGCATTTTTATTGTTTGTACACGTAAAAAAAGGGCAAATGAGAATGTAAAAGATTTATCCCTATACCCAATTTACCTGCATATGCTTAAATATAGCCACATACAACTATTCACACAGATAATACTGACAGAAACTGCAAACCAGAAATTGTAAGAAAGCACTAAATACTTAGAGTCTATATAGCATTTAATACATGATGTATTTAATTTTTTTTAATGTTTATTTTTGAGCGAGAGAGCATGCGAGCTAGTGAGCAGGGGAGGGGAAGAGAGAAGGGGAGATACAGAATCTGGAGCAGGCTCTAGGCTCTGAGTTGTCAGCACACAGCCTGATGACTTGGGGCTGGAACTCATGAACCGCGAGATCATGGCCTGAGCCAAGGTCAGACACTTGAACGACTGCGCCACCCAGGTACCCCAGATACATGATTTATAAAGTACTGATGCCAAAACAAAAAGTCATTGCTTTTATCTTATCATCAATAAATGACAATAGTCATGTTTAAGTATCACTTCAATGTCATGCATGGATTCAAAACAACCTTTTAGATTAGAAAACTTCTCATTAATACTAACCTTATCAATAAAGAAACTGAACTTGGAGAATTTAAGCAATACTTGTCTAAAGTTATACAGCTAGTAAGTAGCAGCACCAAAATTTAGACCCAAGTCTGCCAACTGCTAGGCCTGAAATTTCAATCATGTACAGATATTCTCAGAAACATCTTGAAATTTACCAAGTATTTTGGAAGGCAGATAAATTCTCTTCTGCATTAAGAATGTTTAATATGTTGATAACTGAAAAAATACAAATGGCAATGAAAATTAGCTATATGGTCAACTCTCATTAGAGAACTGACCAATTTTCCCTTTTGTACTTTTGGACATTCCATTTCTAGAAAGAATCCAAGAAATAATGGCTTACGTGGAATTCCTTTCCCCTTGTCTTTGAATTTTGCTTAATGAGTTCTAGTGAAAAGCTGAAATGCCTTGTGAATGTAAAGGATTTCCAGATTACCTGTTATCTGTCCTATTTCCCCCATTTGTAAAGGTAAAGAGCACGAGCTTTTATATTTTAATGTAATGTTCTAAGATATTTTTAAAATGAAAACATCAACTGCAAAGACTTACATTAACTCTCTCTATGGCTTTATTGTACAACTGCAATGCTCTCTTATCATCATCTAGGATCTTCTTCCAAGTTGTGCTCACTTTAGACACACTGGAAAAGTAAAAGGTTATAAAGGAAACAAGGCATCACAAAGAGGTAAGAGGAATGAACATACTACAGAAATACTAACAGTGCAAAAAAGAAATTTCTATTAGCAGTGCTTCTCAAACTTGGTTATACATTAGAATTGCCTACAGCACTTAAGATTTAAGGATGTCCCATGCCTAGGCATTTGGGTTTAACTGGCTTAAAATGGGGGCCAGAGTCCTGTTTTTAAAAGCTCCCTATCAAGTCATTCTAAGTACATCTGGGCTTAAGAACCATTGCAATCATTCCTTGAGACTTCATTTTTTCACAATATCTGCAAACATCAAATAAGTAGCCCCTAGTATATATATGACACTATGTTAGCTATTCGATATCAATAAAAGTTGTAGACAATTTCAAAGTATTCTAGGACATACTGCTATTAGTAGACATCAATTTCAAAAATCCATTTTTGTTAACAAAGAAGCTGTGATGCCAATTATCCCTCAAGAAGGTAGCCAACTATAAAAATTAATACTTCTATTTTGCTTTAGCTATTTTTCATAAAGACCAGTGATAAGTACCTCTAACAACTTTTCCAAAAATGCCAAAAACACACCTGTTTGAGTGGGATCTAATCCAATAGTCTATATTATAATTATCTTAATTCTGTCACCTCATCCTAACTCATATTTGGTAGAATGAGGAAGAAAGGGAAATACGAGGTTTCTAAGGAAACAGTCACAATCAGATGTGGGTTTCCCTATTTTTATCACTGTCAAACCTAGGGGAGCCCTACATTAAAAATGGCCTAAAAACATCAGGAAATATTTCATACTTTCAAGTGTGACAGAACTCATAAAGCCTACTGGACCTATACACCAGAACTAGGCTGTTGTTTTATAGTTAAGTAGGTATGATGTAGCTTAAGTATTAGTAATTTTCAGAAACAAAAATCCCAATTTAACAAAAATAGCTTGCTAATAGTATAAATATGAAATTTGAAATAACTGGATTAAATGCTTACTTTAAAAATCTTCTTTCATCTTAGTGGCATACAAGTGGTCAAATACCAGCTATCAGGCAGTCATTACCTTAAACAACGTAAAAGACTTCCCTCTGTCTTTGTATGAGCTGGTAGTGCTGAGCCATCTTAACAAAAATGTTCAGTGGATTATACTAACACTCAAAGCAACCATACTTACTTGATTAAGTCCATATCATTGAGCTGTGTTAAAATGTTTGCTAGGAGATGTCTGAGTCCCCTTCGAAAGAGTTCACTGAGAATATCTACATATTCTAGGCCCATTTTCCTTCCAATTATATTCTGCAGTCCAAAATTTCCACTGAATATAAATTCTTTCAGTTTCTCCCGATCTATTTTAGGATTTCGTTTGGCATTCTTTTTTAACGTTGAACAAACCATTTTGGCAAAGTGAAGAGCCGGCAGCAAGTTTTTGCTGGGAAATTGCTCTGGGCTTTGCATCTGAAGCAGGCAGGACTGTGGACTGTCACTGAAATTTTCCAAGGGAAGGCTGTTCTCTTCATGTTCATTGAAGCCACTTTGCTGGGAAAATGAAGTATAGCCACTGTCTTCATAAGGTCCACTGGTCTCTAGTTCTTCGATCTCATTTGAACTATCAAGGATTTGTTGCACATGCTGATTTTCCTTGTTATGAAAGAGCTTGTTTTCGTTTTCAGATTCAAGTTCTACAATCCTGGGGCTCACGATTGGTGACCCAATATCTGATAACCTCACATAGTCTTTAATGCAATCTTTATAAGAACCTTCCAAATATACAGGAGTACAGGAACCTTGTCTTCCACTATCATCAGGCTTCACTAACTTAAGTCCAGAATGAATATGGTTATAGCTAAAATCACATTTCATTTTGACAGAAAGAGTGGAACTTTCTTCTTTACAACCTATAAGAAACAAAACAAAGCACTTACTAAATGACAAAAATTTCATACATTTCTACTTCTTATATTGGGATATACAGAGGTTTAATTACTTTGCATTCTCTCAGCACTATATACCTGTGAAAGAATCCAAGTTTAATTACTGAGATGTGACAATGAATACTACTTAAATCTTTTAGTAAGTACATGTATTTTATTCTTAAAAGGGTACCTCGGAAGACTGCTAAAAGCAGTATAATTGTACAATTGTATAATTGTAATATTTGGCTTTTCGAGTCTGTTATCTGAGTAAAAAATACTGGAAAAGGGGACTATTTAATAGGTATCTGTGCTTATGGAACAAATAAGGAAATGTGATGCATCGAGTGGGGTCTGAAGTCAAAGAAATCCTTATAGTAATCACAAACACTTCTACAATCCCTGAACTTGAAATGGCATTAAAATCAGCTCTGACTTAAGCATAACCCAAACCAATGACAGTAAATATGTTTAAGACCAATGGAGAGGGGAAGTGTGTAAGAATCAAAATAACTTTATATAAGAGTGAAACACTAGCAATTATTATAAGCCTTACAATAATTACTCAAGAAAGAACTAAAGTCAATAAATTTAAATACCCTTAAGTTAAAATCTCCTTGAAGTCCCAGAGCTCTCATCTCTTAAGTTTTATTTGGATCAGTGGTAAGGGTGACAGTCTGATATATTTAAGATGTTTGTCTGCCCTACTGGATAGTGAACTCACGCACAGGGACATCTCCCTTTATCTTGCCTAGTATGTGCTAGAGACTGCAATCTTCAATTATTGAATGAAGATTTCTCATAACTAATTAACCAAAGAGTCAGAAGAATTAATAGTTCAGCTACCAATCAGAAGATCTGGTAAGTAAGAGTGACACTATAATTGGTGTAAGACAAGATATAAGAATGTGAGGGTGGTAGGGAACCAGGTGTGCATTACTGTTCAGCTGTCTTAAATAACTGGAGAAGATAATGTGCTTGTTATTTATAAGTAGCATAAGAGGGAAAAACAACAAATTATGATACTATTAACAGACTATGCAATTAGTTCAACTAATTGTTCAACTAAGAAATCAGCTAAGCTACAAATGAACAGGCAGCACTTAATATCTTTACATCAGCATTTCTCAATCTCTGCATTACTAACATTTTGGATTGGATAGTTCTGTTGTTGGGGGCTGCCCTCTACATTTTAGGATGTTTAGCAGGCTTTACCCATTTGATGTCATTAGCAGCCTCTACTCCCTGTGGCACAATAAAAAATGTCTCCAATCACCAGTTGCTGACAAATATTGGGTGGGGAGAGGCAGTGGTGTCAAAATGTCTGATTTCTCAGTTGAGAACTACTGCTTTAAAGGATAGCTAGGATTCTGTCAGGCAGTAGAGGCTGGAGAAAGCATTCACTGAAGGTAACCTGAACAAAAGCACAATTCTGGGAAGGAATACAGTAGATTGATTCAGGAACATTACTTAACATTATTGAAGGCTGAGTATATGAATAGTATTATGCTTCAAATGTATTCTACACCTACTATTACCCCTGCAAACCAATCATAGGTAGGTAACAATCTATCTTTTAAGTGTATGTACCAGTCAGATTGTTTAGTCTGTACTAAGTATTGGTAATCTGTCCATGTTAAATTTTACAGTTTTTATTTAGAGCAAAACCTTTAAGTACTAAAAGAACACCTGTAGGGAGGTAGTCTCTTGAAATTCCCAATGTTTAACACAGTGAAGGACACACAGTATATACTTCAGAACACCACTAAAACTTGGACTTGCCCTAAAAACTCATTTCAAACTAAGTTCAAGTATACAAAAAGCAAATAAGAACAAACAACATTTGCTAACACCAACATTAATCATAATGCTAGAATAAATTATTGAGGGGTTCTCTTTCACCTGGAAGATTAAAATATTCCAAGACAGACTTTTAATTTTTGCCTCAAGAATGAAGTATGATTTACATATGACCACATTTTATCTGAGGGCAAAGACACCTACAAAGACAAACCTTTTATTTTGTTTAGCTGCCTAAAAGGAAGAGGCATGAAAAACGTACTTCAGAAACTCTTAATTCTTTTCAAAAGCATTCTTCCTCTGTTCATTTTAGTTAGCACAGTTGTTATTGAACTATCCCATAGAACCCTTCATTCAACACCACTGTTTGAACATGAAGTTCTTTAAAATTTAGAGCTAATGATGATTCACTCATCTTCTAATTGTTTTAAATTTTTTTTTAAGTTTATTTACTTGAGAGAGAAGAGAGAATCCCAAGCAGGCTGCAAGCTATCAGCGCAAAGCCCGATGTGGGGCTACATGGGGCTAAAACACACAAACTGTGAGATCATGACCTAAGCCAAAACAAAGAGCCAGATGCTCAAGCGACTGAGCCACCCAGGCACTCCAATTGTTTTTAAATGCTTATTTACTTTTGAGAGAGCCCAAGTGGGGGAAGGGAAGAGAGAGACAGAATCCAAAGCAGGCTCTGCGCTGTCAGCCCAAAGCTGGACATGGGACTTGAACTCAGGAACCATGAGATCATGATCTAAGCCAAAGTCTCAGGCTCAACTGACTGAGCCACCCAGGTACCAAGCATCTTATAGTTGTTTAGAAGTTTACAATTCCAATTTGTTTTCAAACATTCGATCCTCACAACCTTCTGATGTAGGGTGAAGAGGTTATTATCTTAGTTTTACAAATAAGGACAACTGAAGCTCAGCTAAGTAGCTTGCCCATAATTTCACAGGTAGTTAAGAGAGACAGATTACCATTCCTGACTATAAATTTAGTGTCCATTCCATTACCTTATCCTGGAAAGTGAGATAAAAGTGTGTGTGTATATAAATAAAGTATACATATACGCTCATAGTCTTTGGGTTATAATCCAATACTACATTAGGTTATTGCTCAAATTGTTTCAGCTTTCACCACTGTGTAAGTTCATACCCACTTCAAATACTTCCATTATTTTGTTTTTGGAGCATTTCTTACTTTCTGGCACAAGATGCTCCAGGCTCATCTTCTATTTTCCCTGTTCCAGCCATAGAATCACTTGTTTCTCCACGGAACTCTAGTTCCTTTTATTGGTTCCAAAATCTGGATGCTGGTTGTAGGTTTAGTTTTAAAATGTGAAATTATATAATATACTGTAAGGTTGGGAGAGTAGAATGGCCTGTACAATTTTAGGGCAGACCGGATCTTATTCATTGTGTAATAAAGAGCACTGAGGGGTTCTGAGTTCAGATATCTGGTTTACATTGTCAAAAGACTTGCAGCTGTAGAGAATGGACTGTAGGAAGGTACAAGCGGAAAGAGGAAAGCTAGTTAGAAGTGTAGATCACAGGAGTCCAGGCAGTTTGGGTAACTGATACTGGGATGACTGCAGTGGAAATGAAGATAATTGGGTGGATGTGAGATGTATTTAGGAGAATACAGTCAACAGAAATTGTGGATGCTTTGGATGTGAATGAAGGAAAGTGGAGTAAAAAAGTACCCTGGGGTTTAAGTCTTGAGCATCTCAGCTATAAAGTATCATTTGCTGAATTGGTGAAAAGGGAGGCAGTTAACTTCTAAAGCCTCTGTATTCTCATCTATAAAATGGGGTTAAGAATGTAAAACTGGACTACATGTATGGCAGAGTCCCATCACATATGGTATTCTTATCACATTTTTAAGCCAAATCCCTTTGTAATCCTTTTATTGAAAATCATGAATGTTTTAAAAATAGCAAAATACGTTCCACACTATGTATTACAGATTACATACTTTTCCTAGGAATCAGATCCATCTTCAAGTAAAAATACCTCCTCAGCCTTGACTAGATTTGTGACATTTCATTTTTTTCTAAAATGGAGGTACTAATATCTGCCTCATGTCGTTGAAGACTCGATATACTGCATTTTTTAAACATCATTTACTCACTCACTGTCCAATCGTGCAAAGGTGGTATTGTAGTTAACTGCACAAAGTTTGACCTTCCGTTTTAACTTTCTAAAGCAGAAGTGAAACTCCATACGAAAATACCATAAATAGGCTGCAATGCTTAAAAAGTTTTACAACTATCCCAACGTTAAATGATTAAGTTCTACAATCCCAATACCTAGAAAATAATCACACGTGCGCGATGTTAAGCTTGGCTATTCCTTAAGAATCTGAGACCCCCAAGGCTTGCAGCCACAAACGGGGAATCAGCCGTAATCTCTAAAAGAAAATTTTAGGAAAGCCTGCCTTCAAAAATACTTGGCTGCGTTAAATTTTTAATCTCATTTTCTCAAATCTGTAAACAGGAGATCAAACTCTTGGAGACGGCAAATATTCTGAGGAGCCAAGTGATAATACCAGGCAAACTGGAAGTAACAAAAAAACACTTCTTAAAGCCATCAAGCTTCAGAAGTTCACAGGGAAACGGAGGAGGGAGGATCTTCTAGAAATAGACCTAACCCTGTTAAAAGCCAGGTATTATTTTTTCTTCCAGTCTTCTAAGTTCCTTTTCTAATGAAAGCGGCATCTTGCAGGGATTGCCCAATCTCACAAAGTCGAACCAATTAAAAAAAAAAAATTGGGGGTAATTTCTGAGGCAAAAATAAATGCCTTTGGATCTCTTTTCAGATAGCCACAAAGAGGGTAAAAATAACCGTTCGAGGGCCTTCCACTCTATCCGAATTTTGGAATCAAGGGCTGTCCAGGGCTTCAGGAGCGCAGGAAAAAAAAGAAAAAATAACCAATTCTTCATTTCTCAGGTAATCAGGTACCGGAGGGCAAATTCACGGTTTTGCAGTAAAAAGTGCTTCCCGCCCGGACCCCAGCCAGGCCTGGGGAACGGGTTACCGGGCAGAGGGGAAAACCGAGACAAAAAGAAAAAGGTTTTGTTCGGACGTCCCGGTACAGCCCGGCCCGGCGAGGGGGTCCCTCCATTTGGCGGGAGCGGGCAGGGGGGAAGCCCAGGCGAAGCCTTGGGGGGTCGGGGAGGTGGCCCCTCAGGGCGCGGGCCGTGCGGAGGCGGGAGATAAGCCAGCAGGATCTCCCGCGCCCGCCAGCAAGGGTGAGGCGGCGAAAATCCGGGGCACTGGACTGCGGCCCCGAGGCTGCGGGCTGAATACGGAAAAGGGGCGCAGGAAGTGGGGCTGAGGCGCCCGGCCAGACCCCGGGGGCCGCCGGCTCGCGAGCCCTGTCAGAGCCCCCGGGCCCCGGGGTGGGGGAGGGGAGGGGCATTTGGCGCCTCTTCAAGCCGGGTGGGGACGAGGATAGGTAGATCCTGCAAGAGGAGAAAGGCGCCCTCAAAGGCCGAGACCTTCACCTCCCTGGGCGCTGGCGTCCAGGAAGGCGGGACCCGGGCCCGCCACCCGCCTCGGCACATCTGGCCTCCCCTCCCCGAGCCCCAGGCTTCTTTCCACGGGGCTGCAGGAACCGCCGAGGCCGCCCGCCCCGGCCCGGCCCGGCGTGAGGCGCACGCTCGGACTCGGGAGGGTGTCGGGTTCGGAAGCAGCCGCCCCCTAACCCCGCATACCCTTCCTGGAAGGCGGGCTCCCGCACCCTCTCCTCACACTCACTGTCTGAGGGCCGAGGGCGCCCGGCGGCTGTCAGGTCGCTGTAGCTGCAGCGGCAGGAGCTGGAGGGGGGCCGTGGAGAGCAGCGGCAGGGGCGCTGGCTCATGCCAGTGGAAGTCGGGGGCCTGCCTCAGGTAAGGGAACAGCTGCCGCAGGAGAGGACCAGGCCGTCCGCTTCACAGAGCTGTATCTCCTAAAAGGCGCCAGCTGGTACTTTTAAAATCTTTGAATTTGGTGCCCAAATCCGTACGGCCCAATGGGGTGCGTTGCTCGCACGCGCGCTCCAATAGGAAGGCGGTGGGAGGGGGCGCCCTCACCCACGCCCAATTAGAGGCGGCAGAGGCGGGGCCGAGCTCCGAGGCCCAACCTTCCTCCTTCCAGCCGGCTCCGCGCGTCCGGAAAGATGCTCCCGCAGGGGACGGGCTTGGGGGCGGGGCCTCTGAGCGCTGGGAGGCCCCGGCCCGGCCGCACGTGGAGGTAGCCTACCACGCATGCGTGCACCCGCCACGCTTCCTTCCGCCTTGCGAGCGGGTCTTCTCCGAGTCCTAATTTCATCTTGAAGGCAGCTCCGGCTTCTGTCCGAAGATTTCCCATGGTTATATAGCGTGGCCGACTTTCTTCGAGCAGCACACAAGTGGGTGTTTGGTGAGCGGCGACTCCGGTCGTCCGGGAATCCAGACTTTCCGGAAGACAAGCCCTGCCCCCAGCTCTCCGTAGCCGCTTAGCCCGCCTCTCTAGGATTTAGGCGCGCTCCTCTGTCCCTCTCACTTTCGCCCCTCCCTCTGCCCTCAGCGTTTGCGCAGGCGCCTTTGGCGGGCGGTAGCTGCAGAGTTGGCGGGTTGGCGCCTGCGCGATTCTCTCAGGCGCAGGGGCGGGCCGCGGTGGCGCGCGCACCGTGGGTCTCGCACCTGCCCTGGCTGAAGACCTGGGGCTGCGTGTCCTCGTGGCCTTGCTGCGGTGGGACAGTCGCTTCTTTCTTGTAAGCGTCTTTATTTGTCTTTTCAACCAGAGTTCTCCAGCCACCGCTACTTTGTACGGACGTTAAGTTTATTAGACTTGTATCTACGCTTTCCTGGGTTTTTGTTTATTTACCTCAGGGGCCAAGCGCGAGAGACAGCAGTCCTGCTCCAAAAATAAATGTTTATAAAACGTCTTGCCGTGAGAGCTTCAGTCCCCACACTCTAGGGCTGGAAGCCTCGGGCCAAGGGAATGATTTTCTAGTGATGTCAGGAATGGGTCGAAGTATTTATTAAGCTTTCGTTGACAACTGGCACCACAGTATTAGCCCTGCTGAACTTTTCAGCCCGAGTGTGCATTTAACTGGTGACAGTGCGTGCCTTGCCGTCAGCCTTTTGGCCACAGCGCGGTGAAGCTACAGGGTGTAAGCTCCAAAAAGTCCAATTCCTTGTCTTCTGGTTCTTCTGGGTTCTCCCTCTTGCTTTTCTGCAGCTTTAGAGAGAGTTAATACTCGATTTACGGTAATCGCTCAGTTATATCGGTGGCAAGCCCTAGTGAGGCAGGGCGGGGACTGGGGTGAATTTTGCACATGCTGGTTGGATCCCGTCGTTATGCATAATTATGATAGTTCGTCATGGTGTTTTACATTACTTTTCATCTTTAAGAATGTTGCTCTAAATTCATATTTTTCTGGGTTACTGGCATTTGGGCATCCTCTTAAATTTTGCATCTGAGTGATGTGTCCCACTCGCCTGCCTTAGCCCCGTCTTGGAGCTAGGTCCTGGAGATACATGGTTGGAAAAACAAAAGCCCTGATTTTCAAAGAGTTTTCATGCTAATGGGAAAGAAACAGTTAACAATTGTAGTTCAGGAAAGAGCAATATAAAACTAGATTATGGGGCAGGGAGTGGGCAGTAGGGGCATAGATTAATGACTCTGGGTGGTTAGGAGGGTTTGGGAGGCTTTGGACCAAGATCTGTTGGGTAGGCACTGCAAAGATCGGCTTAATAAGCAGAGGGTAGAGATGGAAAGTGCGTGGCTTGTTCCAAGGAGATAAGGATGTCTAGAGCACATTTAGCAAGTGCTAGAGGAGATTAGGTCAGAGAGGTGGCAGCCAGATCCTGTAGGATTTTGTAGGTTTACATGTGGACTTTAGAGTTTCTTCCGATTGTAGTGGTAGTTGTTGGAGGGATTTCAGCAGGGGAGTGAGTTATTTGTTGAATGGATGTTAAAACTATAGTAGCTTTTTGTCTTCTAGGCATTTTGTAAATGTTAGTCTTTAATTCTCACAATAACCTTGGCACTATTTAATTTTTCGGAAGTGGAAGTTAATTCTCAGAGAACTACACAGCTCATAAGCAAAAATTCCAATCCTGTTCTTTTTCTGTCTTCTTTCAATGTTTATTTTTCAGAAGGCACAAGTGGAGCAGGGGTAGAGAGAAGGGGATAGAGAATCAGAAGTGGACTCTTGGCTGACAACAGCTAGCCCGATGAGTTTGAACTCATGAACCGTGAGGTCATGACCTGAGCCGAATTCAGACCCTCAACCAGCTGAACCACTGAGGTGCCTCTGCAATCCTGTTCTGCTGGATAAGTCCATGTACTTCACTCCTTTGCTGGGTAGGCCTGATTTTATAGTACATTTTCACATTACTTCCCCATTTGACCTTTGAGATCTTTACTCCTCTTTTATTTTCAGATGTGGACAAATGTATGAAATTTGAGGGGAGAAAGGGTTTTTATTAAACTAATTGAGCACCTGTACTATATTGGACCTTAACTACTGTTTAAAAGGTATTCTCCAGCAGTTACTGATCTTTTCAGGAAGAGGCTAAGATCTGTTATTAGGAAAATTAAAATTACTGTAGCAATAAAAAGCAATATACATAGCTAAGCATATTTTATTGTGTACTGGAATAGTTTATCACATTCTTTCTCAGCCTATTATTTAATGTTGATTTTAACTATTAGACTACTACTGAAATATTGATTATTTTGAAATATTTTTAACTGACAAATAATTTGTTCAGTAGGTTCATGAGCATCTGTTAATTTCATTTTTAGTGAGAAACTTAGGAAGGGCCATTTTGAATTTTACTAGATATCAACAGATGTATGTACCTCTTTCTTCCTGCACTTCAATTTCAGAATTATTGAGGTTTTAGGTACAAAATGAAGCATAGAGAGAGTTGCCCTCTTTCAGCAAATTTTTTTTTTTTTTTAAGTTTATTTGAGAGAGAGCATGTGCATGCACATGGGGGAGGGACAGAGAGAGGGAGAGAGAGAGAGAGAGAGACACAATATGAATCCCAAGCAGGCTCCACACTGTCAGCACAGAGCCCAGTGTGGGGCTTGAACTCAAGAACCATTAGATCATGACCTGAGCTGAAGCTTAACCAACTGAGCCACTGAGGTGCCCCTCAGCAAATTCTTATTTGCAGACCTACAACATGCAAGATATTATGGAGTATCTGGAAATAATTGGGACATGGTACCTGCCCTTGTTCTTATTATCTGGGCCTGCCACCTAATAGACATAACAGATGCTCAGTAAATGATTAAAAGCATCATGAGCATGGAGGGAAGGAGATAAGGTGTATAAGATATAGCTATAATGCAACACTGGATAAGTCAGAGACATCTGGTTACACTGAGAATTTTTAGAGGACAGAGAATTTACTTTTATATACTAGGATAAGGGAATAATCTGTTAGACAGTTTTCTCAACCTCAGCGCTGTTTACTTTTTGGCCCAGGTACTTATTTCTTGGGGGCTGTCCTGTGCACTGTAGCATCTTTAGCCTCCAAATATTGCCAAATGTCTGCTATGGGCAAGCTTTCCTCTAGATGAAAACCACTGCTGCTGGGGATGTCTTTTGAAGGACTGGGGAGGAGGGTGGCCTGGCATAAAGAACATGATGGGGGAAAAATTAAATGCAAGTGCAGTTATCAGAAAAAATGAATTTGATGTGACCTAATGGGGGTAGTGAGTAAAACAGGCCAATATGAAATAACGCTGGATGTGGATATGGATGTATTGTATGCACACTTAAGACATGGAGTTTTATTTGGAAGGCAGTAGGAACTTACTAAGTTCCTGCTTAATAAGCAGAAGCAGTGCATTTGAGCCAAAGAGTGACAAAATCAGAGCCTTGTTTTTTAGGAAGATGAATCTGGCTGTTGTGTTACCTGAACTAGAGAGCAGCTTAGGATGGAGGGAGAAGTCAGGGGACCATAAAAGTAGTCCAGGAGAAAAGTAATTGTGGGCAAGAGCAGTGGTAATAAAATCTGTGAGGATTAGAGTGTTGAGGAGAGTAGGATTTAGCAATGAAGTGTATGTGAGGAAGAGGAATCAAAGATGACTACATTTTAAATTTGAGAGAGAGGGAGAATGGTAGTGCCATTAAAAAAAACAGAAATGGGTTATGGAGGAATATGACGTTGAATTTTAAACCTAGTGATTGGTTATGCATCTTCAAAATTGCTATTACAGCTGAGTAAGTTTTGATTAACTGCTGTTCTAGGCCATTCTGAAATTGTTTTTTTCTGAATAACACATCAGATTTCTGGACAGATATTTTCGCTATAACTGCCTTTTACACACCTGTTTCGTGCCTGTTGTAGCATAATGTTTGGTCCTGAGGAGACAAGAATGGAGAAAACATATTTTTGTCCATTCATGAGACAATGTGAGAGGTCTAGCGACACATGCTTATTCTAGTCCCTGACCCACTCTTTCCCATTTCCTTATTAAACACAGTCCTGAGACTGGTGTTACCTTGCCATAAATGTTGTCATCCTGGTATGGTAAAGTACTGTGGAATTGCCAATGAAGGGCAGTTAATTCTGCCTAGAGGCTAAGGTGCCCTTTAGGTTGGACTTCGAAATCTTTCTGCTGAGGTAAGCCAAGAGTCTGTTCCAGGTGGAGAGCACAGCACATGCAAAGGGAGTGGGAGCAACAAAATGCATGGTTTATAGGGAAGATAGCTGTATAGATGCATTGTTTATACGAACAGCTACAGATTTGGAAGCCCTTAAATATTAGACTTAGGGTTCCAGTTGGCCTCATGCCACGACTGTTGCTCTACCCTGATCCTTCCCTGGGTTCCAAAAATTACATTTGTTATTCTGGTAGTAGCTATATTAGTGAGTGAAGTGGAAGCCAGTGTCCATTCATACCAGAATTTGTCAATTAATCTGCATGTGTTTATAATACACCTACTGATGCATGTGTTAAGCTTAACATTGTTAGAATTACCTAGGTATTATGATTTCTTCTCTAACCAACCAACCGTGATGTTCTAATGGACAGGAAGTTTAAAACTTGATCAAAAGTTCTTTTCCACCTTCATTAATACAGCTATCAGACCTTTTCCCATGGGGCAGGGAGTGAGGAAGTGGAGTGGGTTGGGGGGGGTGCGGATAACTAACCTTTAAAAGCTTCTGTTGTTTACAGAATGAAATTCAATAGTCAAGACTCTTCACAATCTCAGTCCAACTTTTCTAATTATCGGCTATTAGAAGAGGTAAAGAGAAATTAAGTAATAATATGTTGTAATATTCAGTTAACATAAATATATCCCTTTCATTCAAAAAGGAAACCCGAAAGACCTAAAAGACACAAACTGGGAAACACATCTTACATGGACCTTATGCAGGATTGCCTATGGTCTAATTAACAAGTCTTGGTGTATTCTTGAGTTGCATAGGTCATGGAAAGCTATTTTCATCAAATGTGCTTGTGAAGGTAGAGTGTCCTTCATGAACAGAATGTTACAAGGGAAATTCAAATTCTCTGATGTATTTGATAACCTTTGGCCAGTTTTAAAATTAATACCTGTCTTTACTGAGTTTTCTCAGTAAATAGTAAACCTGCTATTTCTTAAAGAATAAGGTGAAACAAATTACTCTGAAGGTTAGTACAAGCTAGGGCTCTAGAGGAAATTTGGCTAATACAGGTTGACTTAAGAAAGAGGAAACACATTACCTCACAATGATATACTTTTAAATTTGTGTAGAACATATGCTTATAAGAATTTAGATTACTGTAGGTTCAACAAATAGAGAAAAGCATGCAGTTTGGGAATTAATGGAATGTCTTCTAATTATTTAACCCTTTCATCATATAACCTTAATAATTAAGTCATTTTATTTCTCTGGAAATTCTACTTTGTTGTAACTACTATAAAACTAACATTATCTACTAGATAGAGGTATTCTCATAATTGTAGTCCTTAGTTAATTTCATGTTTTCAAAAACTAGAATCAGCATTTGCAGCCTTTCTCTCTTTATGGGTAACTGACCTTTCCTGTAGTTCTTTCCCCTCCCCTACTCTCCCTTCCACTCCTTGTAGTTAAACACATTGAATTTACTACTCTTCCTTGCAGTAAGCAGCACATACACCATGGAAGAACCATGGGGATGTCTCCTGTTTTTTGGGTTTTTTTTAATGTTTATTTTTCAGGGAGAGAGTGAGCATGTGCACACAAGAGAGAGGGAGGGAGACAAAGAATCTGAAGCAGGCTCCAGGCTCCACACTGTCAGCACAGAGCCCGACACACAGAGCTTGAACCCACGAACTGTGGGATCATGACCTGAGCTGAAGTCAGATGCTTAACCTACTGAGTCACTCAGGCACCCCTCCTGTTTGTTTGTTTCTTTTTTTTAACATTTATTTATATTTGAGACAGAGAAAGAGCATGAGCTGGGGAGGGGTAGAGAGAGGGGGAGATACAGAATCTGAACTGTCAGCACAGAGCTCAATGTGGGGCTTGAACCTACGAACTGTGAGATAATGACCTGAGCCGAAGTGAGACGCTTAACCGACCGAGCCACCCAGGCACCCCTCGTATTTCTTTATCAAGCACAGTAAGCACTTTTTAATCTCTGTTGCCCTCAACATCAAGAGGTCTTTCACAGCTGTGTAGCCTCAAGCAGACATTCCCAGGCTTTCTTCCCTTTTAGACCCCAATTCTCTGGAGTCTGTCTTCTCAGAAAAGAGCTGATCATAACCAGGACTCCTATGGAAAATAAGAGCCACTAAACTTCTTTTAAATCTTATGATGAAAAAATACTGATAAAGAACCTACTGATTTAGGGACACCTGGGTGGCTCAGTCGGTTGAGCATTGGACTGTTTGGCTCACATCATGATCTCCTGGTTCTTGAGATCGAGCCTCAAGAGTCAGGCTGACAGCATGGAGCCTGCTTGGGATTCTCTCTCTCCTTCTTTCTCTGCCCCTCCCCTGCTTGCACATGTGCTCACTCACAGTAAATAAACTTTAATTATAAGAAAAAAATATTATACTGATTTAGCTTTAAGCTCACTTTCAACAATAAATTCTTCTCCTTTCACAAGGGTGAAGTCATTTTTCTCATCTGTGCATGTGTTTTAGAGATTCAAATACATCTCAGCACATCAGAGCATTCAAACTTGGCTTATTTGGTATATATTTTAATGACAAAAATGCTAAATCAGAGGAAAGGGAGAGAGTATGCAAAACTAGCTGAGTGTTAAGCTCCAACTTCCAGTTTGTAGGAAATACTGTGACTTGAGGAATTAAATGACACTGTAGTAGCCTGATCTTCTCAAATGCAAATTCATTGCAATGTCATGGAAAA